AAATAACCATTCAATTAAACAATGCCATTATATAATAACTATCTATAAATATATTACTGTGAAGAGCAGATTTTTCATATTTTAATTATCACTTTAGAAATTAAATTTCTTATCTAATCATAGTTATATTACAATAATTGTAATAAGTGATTTTATTCTTAAAAAAATCACATGGTATGATATCATTACATTATAAGCCCATTTTTGTACAAATTAAACAGGCTGCATTATTAAAACGTATATAAAAACCATCAGAAAAACTAAGGTGACAGAATGCCATTTGGCCTGTAGATTTATCCATCAGCTTACACAAGCAAATCTAAGTATCACCATTCACATATACATATCATTATCACCTTATACAAACAAATCCAAGTATCACCATTCACACATACATACCATTATCACCTTACACAAACAAATCCAAGTATCACCATTCACACATACATATCATTATCACCTTATACAAACAAATCCAAGTATCACCATTCACACATACATACCATTATCACCCTACACAAACAAATCCAAGTATCACCATTCACACATACATACCATTATCACCTTACACAAACAAATCCAAGTATCACCATTCACACATACATATCATTATCACCTTACACAAACAAATCCAAGTATCACCATTCACACATACATATCATTATCACCTTATACAAACAAATCCAAGTATCACCATTCAAAAGAAGTACTTGATGGAGAAGAAAGAAATAATAAGTATATAAAAATTTCTATCAATAAGTACAGTTGTAGGAAAAATTGTAATAGTATGATGTTTGAACAAGTAAACAGTAAGTGAAATTACACTGTGGAGGTCCATAATAGTTTAACACAGGTTTGTGTTTAGAGCTGGACAATTAACTTCATTAATCAATTACCTATGAGCATAGATTACATGGATTAGTATCTTGTAGAAAAAATTATCAATGTCACAAAAAATCAACTATTTGAAATTATTGTTTCCAGTTACTAATATTCTTGGTTATTCCAACTATTCAAGTTTAGTTAAATGTAATAGATTGGTGATTCCAACAATTAATCTATTGACAAATTGCAATGAAATACTTAGAGATATTTGTGTTTGATACATTTCTACAACTTATAATCTTTTTCTTATATATATATATATATATATATGAAACTGTAATATACTTATTTTTAGTATGGATTTCTCTCCTGACTAACTCTGTTGAAAAACATAAATACAGCTTAAGAATATATTATATCATTTACAATCCTGATTAGTTGAAGACAAGAAAAATTACATGACTCCGAGTTTGACTTAATTAAGATTTATTAAACAGTGCTTGCATGATTTGCAAAATAATTTTGTCCATAATAAACATATTAAGTTTTTTTATGTTTATGTTCTGTTCATGGGAGCTTTATATTAGATGTTACCTATCTTCCACAAAATATTTCAGAAGCAGTTGCATAAAATAATAAGTTATATTCTAAAAGAATTGGGGGAAAACTATTTGAAAGGAGATTTACTTAGTGTCAAAAAGAGAAGGATTAAGGATTGTTTAACAGTTAGACTATGACATTTTAACTTAAACATAAAGACATTTATGTGTACTTCACAGTGGTAAACTATATTTTATGTACCATTCAACAGTAATATTGATGCTATGTGAGAAAGTGTAGCACATTCTCTCACAGTATTGATAAATTAAACATGTAATAACAGTGTGCAACTTATTACACCAGACTTGTTTGACTGGAACATAATGTGAAATTTCCAACAATTATTTTAAGGTACATAACATTTGAGTGTGAAATCTCATAGTAGTTAGTAAAAATGGTGAAATATTTTCTGTTTAAGGGTATAATAGATATTGAAATGTTTAATGTTATTATCTTACATGTGATCCACTGAATTTATGAAAGAGGCATGATATATTATATATGCAAATGGAAACATTTGGATTTGTTTATGTAAGGTGATGATGATATGTATATGTGAATAGTGATACTTGGGTTTGTTTGTGTAAGGTGATAATAGGTATGTATATGTGAATGGTAAAACTTGAATTTGTTTGTGTAAGGTGATAATGGTATGTATGTGTCACATACTTTTACAACAAAACATTATATTATTATAATGTTTTACGCCTAGGCTTATATTCTAGAACTAGAATAAGTATTACTCATTTTATTACTAATAGTATTAGTTCTAGTACTACAGTGATATTAACTGGAACTTAAATTATGGATTCAATTCTAATTCTATGAACGACTAACCTAGTACTACTAGTAGTAGTCCATACTCGTAACTTACTGAACTTACTCAGTGTAAATACTTACTTAAGCTAGGGAATAATTGCTAATTACAAAACTATGATGATTCATACCTGAGGCCTGTTACAACACAAGTCTTTTAGCTTTCACTACTGGAGAGGGGACCAATAACAGACAAAATTCTACAGAAGAAACCAAAGCTTACTGCAATAAAAACAAAAACACATTTAGCTAAATTAAATGGTAAATATTGAACAGTCCTGCTCCGCAACCTGAACATCTCAATGGAAAATAAGATAACATACAAGAGGGTTCTAGAACTGACCACGAGAGGGTGAGTAAATCCGATCAACTATTTAATTCGGGAATACAATTATTTAATCAATATATGTTCGCTACATTAATTTTTAAATAATTATATCTGTGATATTAAATCTCAATATAATTAATGATAATATACGTCACATTATTCTTTTCCGAGTGGCCCCGTAATATGTTCTGTAAGGCCTTGAAAGTAGGCTAGAAGATTGGAATTTACTTTTTTTTCAAGAGAGGCGATAAGTCCTTTCAACAGTCAAGTTCCAAGGGAGGTGATGATCATTGTCCCGGTAATTATTAGTTGAATATTTGATAAAAGATATTTTCAAAAGTCATTTAACAAAGCTTACAATGTTGTTGGATAATGAACATGGTTTCACTAGGGGAAATCTTGCCTTGTTAATCTTTAGACATTCTTTGAAGAAGCTAATGCTTAAGTAGATAAAGATAAAGGTGTGGATTTGTTATATCTTGACTTTCAAAAGGCATCTGGCAAGGTGCCACATAACAGGCTTGTAAAAAACAATTTCTATAAGAATGAGGGGATAAGTTGGCTCGTTGGATAGAAAATGGCTGGATGGAAGAAAGAGGGTTGTTATACATCGAATTTAGTCAAACAGGGTTAATGTCACAAGAAGAGTATTTCATGACTCTTTACCTTTACTTTTTTTACTACGTCAGCGACATATCAGAAGGAATAATCAATAATTTTTTATATATGCTGATGATATTAAAGTCTTAAGTTTTGCTGACTGTGAGAATGCTGCTGCCGCATTAAAAAGGATATCACCTATATGACGAGATGGGTGAATAAATGGCAGGCGACTTTTAATTATAGTAATACAAGGTTTGTGTTAACATAATTTAAATTATAAATATTAATTTGATGGATGTTCTGGTTGATCAGTCTAATAAATAATTCAAGTAGAGGGCCGTTGCTAGTGGTAGAGCAAATAAACTTTTAGGTTATAATTATAACTTCAATATATGAGACATTTGTTAGGCATCTTTTGGAGTGTTGCCTACAGTCTTGGGCTCCGTAGTAAGAGTTGAATTGTTGGAAAGAGTTCAGAGGAGAGTTACTAGGATGACACTTGGATAAATATTGTCATACGATGACTGGTTAAGATCTCTGAAAATATTTTCATTCGAAGAAGAAGAGTTAGAGAAGATTTAATTGAGGTGTTTAAAATTGTCATAGGAATTAATAGTGTCGATGTATCGTGCTTTTTCGTACTTAATGGTGAAAATGGTAAGGCTAGAAGACGCAAGTAAATATTTTGGCAGGATAGGAGTCATCTTTAGCCAAGACATTAAAATCTTTAACAGGGTGTTTGGTCTTTGGAATGGATTACTTTCAGATATAGTGGTTACCATAAAATTAAGAGAATTTAAGGAAATGCTTGATAAATATTCAAACGATCAGAACTGGCCTTGAGTGTTGTTTTTAATAATTATTATAGTTTAGCAGATGAAACATCCTAGACAGATCAACAGGGCCCTTGTTGTCCTTAAATCGTTTGTTCGTGTAATGTTATGTTAAGTTACATGATAAAATATCAAACTATACCTTGTTTTTTTTTGTATGCTGCTGCCGATGAAGCCGTTTTTTTGCTCCTTGCCAGAGCCCATTAGTTCGGCTGGGTTACAAAGATATGATTGGCATTATCATCAACCTTACTGTGACGTTATATCACATACACACATTGTTACTATTTCTTATGTTCCACAAGCCACAGAACGGTAAGGGGCTGGGACCGTCATTTTCTATACAGGTAATCAGCGCCCACTTCTTCTCCCTTCAAAAATTTCGATATACTTACAATTCTCCCTAACTTGAACTGAGGTTTTAGACTCGAATAATAATTCACCATAAACAGATAAATATTTTATATTAAATTTGGTAGCTGCAAATAAAGAGTCGAGAAGATAAGATAACGAGATACAGGTAGCTTACTTTTTCTTCCTGGTTTCCGTCATAACTGACCGTCACTGCATGAAACTATGTTCAAATTACTTCTCTACCAAAAACAAAACAAAACAAAAAACCTTAACGATGCTTTTTCAACAAGTGTTTAATTTGACATAAGTATAAATTTGAAAACGTTATTGTTGGTACAATTAAAGCAATTGTATTTATTTTTGGGTGTTAAACATTTCAGCTGGCGGAGCGCATAAGCATCGGAATCAAAGTTGGAAGTGGAACTATTGTCAGATGTGTTTACTGAAACATATTTTTTGCTGCTTAGTTTTATTCTAATTTAGAAACAAAATTGAAAACTGACTTGCGACTATTTCAACAGAATAAGATGTAATGAATGATTCAAATAGTACATGATGAGTCATTGGGTGTTAAAAATTTGGCTGTTATAACTGCATTTTATTTACTCTAACGTTTAGTAATTGAAGTATGAAAATAAACAGAATAAATATGTGAAAACATATGATGTGGCCAATATCTTGCAAAGTATTCTTGAAATACAGTAGCTCCCAATGGCACAGAGGCATGTCTGTGGACTTATACTTCTAGAAACCGAGTTTCGATACCTGTGGTGGGCAGAGCACAGATAGCTCTTTGTGTAGCTTTGTGCTTAATAACAAACAACAACTGAAATATACCTTAGTATTAATAAATACTTCTTAATAAATTCCCTCATTTTGTTACATCGTCTTTCTTTCGTGCCCAGTCCTCCAGAAAGACAGCAGTAAGTTTACGTATTTATGACGCTAAAATCCGGGGTTCGATTGTACTCGGTGGAAACAGCAGATAGTCCAATGTGGTTTTGCTGTAAAACGAATAAACTTTCGTGCCTTCTAGTGACTCAACGGTAAGTCTGAAGACTTATAATACTAAAAACCGGGTTTCGATACCCGTGGTGGGCACATCATATGTTACCCAGTGTATAACTCTGCGCTTAACAACAAAACAAACAAACATTTTTTCGTCCTCAGTTATATCAGAATTATACTGATTTCTAACATTGTATGTTATTCAATTGTCAATAAGTAGCAGCACAAAGGGCACATGTTTATCACTGTATGAAAGTATTAAACAGGTACGAGGGAGGTGTCGTGTTAAATCACAGTTTTATATAAAGTTTTAACGCTTATAGTAGTAAACGATACTCAAATGTTCACGTTATTATTTATGAGAAGATTCTGGTTTGGTTTGTTTTGAATTTCGCGCAAAGCTGCACGAGGGCTATCTGTGCTAGCCGTCCCTAATTTAGGAATGTAAAACTAGAAAGGCAGCTAGTCATCACCACCAACCGCTAACTCTTGGGTTACTCTTTTTACCATAGAATAGTGGAATTGATCGTCACATTATAACGCCTTCACGACTGAAAGGGCGAGCATGTTTGGTGTGACGGGAATTTGAACCCGCAACCCTCAAATTGCGAGTCGAGCGCCCTAACCACCTGGCCATGCCGGGCCGAAAAGATTCTGTAATTTACTTCACGGCCACTGCAGTACAATTGAACTTTCACGCTGAGAGAATTGTATATCCATTAACAACTGTTAAATCTTCATTAATCAAGAGAGAACAAATACGAATTATCTAATATTCTCTGAAATACTTTACCTTATTTTTAAGCACTACATAAAAATGCAGTGCGTTATACAATGCTAAAATAACAATAATATCTTTATAGTTATAAAAAAAACCTACATGTGTGTATGTACTGCTTTTTTAAAATTCTATTTGGAATTTGTTAATCAGTCATTGTTCTTGAGAGTAATAACTATGTATTCGGATAGATATGAGCATTTCTATATGCTTATATCCTTGTTTTTGTTGTTAAACACAAAGATACACAGTGGGCTATTTTTGATCTGTCCATCATACGTATCTAAACTCAATTTTCAGTATTATAAGCTCCAATTGGTTGGGGTCGTGTTTGTACATTTATAGGAATGCTTTGTGTTCAGGTTCTATAATTTTTAACAGAAATATAACAACTGACAACAGAAAAACAACAACAAATTGACTCCTTAAATCCATGACAGCTATTTATTGTTTGGGTGAGTTTAACAGGTAAACTTATTTGACAACTGAGAATAAAGGTGAATGTTTTATCAGGCGTAAGAAAATGTTGAGATTCAAGCTATAAATCCGAAAATCTGTATATCAGAATCCCTCAATGATAAGTATAGTCTGCCAGTGGTAGATTTAACTTTTCTTCAGTTGTTCTATAAATTAGAACATTATTTTGTTTTATAAGTACTTTTTCCAAGTTTTGAAAGTTGAAAACCCAAACAAACGAAAAATTGAGGAATACCTTGCGACTTAATAAATTATGTATCAAAACCAGTAAGTTGCGAATCACTTTTAATTTCAAACGACCATAAATCATACAAGATACGAAAGGTTTGAATAAAAATACAGTACAGTATATGTTGTTAATTTAGACGTTTGAAGCAGTATAAAACGTAAATCAGACTAGAGTAGAGTGTTACGTATTAAAATTTCGAATGGTTTGAAACCGAGCTAAATGATAATTTAAATTTAGTAGTTAAATATATGACGATATATCTCCAATTTATGATATTTGCAAACAAGATAGATACACACAGTTTTCTATTTTTTAATACAAATATATTTTAATACACAAACAATAATACAATTTACAATAACAGTTATTGCAATTAGTTATTACAAACAATGATCTATCTACAAAACTTTTACAATCTTACAATCAATATAAAGTCTTCTTTCTAGTCTGGAACTTCCTTGATGACATTTCGAGGGTTCACGAAGAGCGAGTTAATTTCATGTTGATGTAGGTTCAATTCACTTGATAGGGAGCTAGCTAACCCTATAGTTCTGATCACACACCGATATCTTTCCTACCGGTGACGTTAAGTAATGTTTTCGTAAGAGTACTAATGTCTGATGTGAATCCACTGAAGTTAAATGGTTTGTAACGTTCGAAAATTATAAACGTTCCTGGTCAAATAGCTGAAGTTATTATTTGGCATAAAGAAAATTCAC